ATCATCATCATCATCATCATCATCATCATCATCATCATCATCATCGTCGTCGTCATCATCGTATCATCATCATCATCATCATTATCACTATTTTACTCTAAGGTTTCCCGCCCTCACAATCCCCCGGCCTCACCATCAGTGCAGTTGTGGGTGATTTGTGCATATCCAGAGCCAATTCTCGCTGTGGAGGACAAGAAATAGCTTTAAGATAGGGAGCCCCTCTTTGTGGCCCCGTGGCCTATTATATCCAACAACAGGGGGAAAGAGGCAGATTATGAGTGTTGGAGACTTAATAATTTAGAATAAAACTACAATGTTCTTACATGGGTGCTGCTGGCGGAGGCGCGTTGTGAATACGCTACTTTAAAATTAACAAGTTCTATCGGATATTTTGGGCCGTTTTTGAGTTACTAAAACCATGAGGTCAGAAACAAAATGTTCTATTTGCGCTATAATAATCTTAAGATTATTCCGAGTCGCTATCAAAATATTCAAAGAATTACATTCGAAAATGCTTGAGATGTTGTGAAACTGAAGGGAAAAAAATGAAGTCAAAGGTCTCCAAACTTGACAGTGAGCAGATAGGTAGCGAACAGTGTCTCTGGGTACATATTCTGTTCCTACGCGCTTTTTGTGCCTCTCTCTTAATTCTGAGGTGGGTGGTGAGAGTGAGTATGTATACGTTTGCTTATCTTTTTCAAAAATATCTTGATTAAATAAATGTTTTTGCTGCAAGTAAAATTAACTTTTAGGGGGAGAAACGCATTGCACCCAAAATTGCGTTCGGAGAAAACATGCAAAGTTGCCAGAAAACGGGAAGGAATCGTACCAAGAGTTGACAAATTTAATGCGTTTAACTTAAGATAAAAGAATTCGTGTCAAATTTGGGGAAGAAGTCACGTCAAGAGAGAAGAAAAAAGCACACCCAGAGAAGAGGAGAATGACGTGAAAACGGGAGAAAAAAAAGTCACCTCAAGAGGAAGAGCTAAAATGAAGAGAGTGTAATTTTAATAGAGGAGAAAACCCTTTAAGATGAGAAATTATGGTCTAAAAAAGGAGAACATTACGTCCAAAGCGGAGAAGAAATTGCGTCAAAAAGAGAGAACACCACGTCAAAAGAGGAGGGGAAATCACGTGAAAAATGTTGTCACGTCTGAGTGAAGGTATATATACATAGAGAGAGAGAGAGAGAGAGAGAGAGAGAGAGAGAGAGAGAGAGAGAGAGAGAGAGAGAGAGAGAGACAGAGAAAGAGAAATAATTGTCTTGTAGTATGTAACAAAGTGGCAGCCACGAGTACCAAGAATTGGAACAAATTTTACAGCAGTATTTTAAGAACGTGAATTAAAACGCAATAGACAATATGATAAGGAATAGAAAGTACAGAATGGGGAAGGGAACAAGGAAATGAAGGAAAGGGGAGTGGGGTGGAGGGGTGGTTGTGGAAGGGGAGGGGGAGAATATGAAAGAAGGAGAGTGAAATGCTGCTGGGGCAACAAATTCCTCAAAGAATCTGTAAGGTATGGGACAGAATGGGAACACGGAAAGAAAAAAGAAAAACGTTTGGGATCT